GTTATTATACGTACTACCTTCTCTCTCTCTCTCTCTCTCTCTCTCTCTCTCTCTCTCTCTCTCTCTCCTCTCTCTTTGTCTGTGTCTCTGAGTGTGTGTATGTATATATATGTAACGGTTTCGTCGTCCGTGTATATGCGTCGTCCGGCGGTATTTGCTCCGAATTGGATTCTTCCTCTCGTTTCCGCCGTATTTCCTCGCTCTCTCTTTCTCCCCCCCCCCTTTCCCCCCTATGTGTCTAGCACCTCTGAGGTATCTCGAATTTTCGCCCAAAAGGAAAAAAAAGAATGTACGCTTCTTCTTTGTCTTTCGCGGAAGTCAATACACACGCACCACACGGACGCTATCGCGTCCGGGTGTGCCCCGTGTATACGACTGCAAGCCAAAGGGTTGGCAGGGAGCAACAGGGGAGGGGGGGGAGGAGGCGAAGGAAAAGGTTTTTATCGAGAGATTCGGCCGATAAAATGCCTCGCGTGTATGGCATTGAAGGATCAGCGGACAATTAGACGATGGCGTAGGTAATGTCCGGCCGACTGTGATGAGCTTTTACCTCGTTTTGCCCCCCCCCCCTCCCCCCCCGCGTCGGTCGCCGGTCGATCGCGAGGCGCAAAAACGAGCGCGCGGATGATTCGGCTCTTGTTCCGCGCGCTTTCCGCCGCATCCGAAGGAACCATCGGCGCAAAAAAAAAAAAAAGAAAGAAAGAGATGCTAATCGCGCCCGGCATCAAACTCTGTCTGTCGGTGTCGGATGTTGCACGAGTCCCGAAATGAGTGTCCGTCGGACGTGTCCGGAGGTGGTATTTTGATCCACGCTCCCGCGAAGTAACGGTCAACGTGGCGGAGGTATTGATCTCGCGCGAATGAAAATACGACGTGGAGGTATGAATGGTAAATAGAAACGCGGACGGAATTGGCCGAGATATAATCAGGATCGCGAATCGCAACGTAACGCAAATTGCGCGATTGCGCTTGATGAGTCGGCGGATGATGCGTCGGCTAGGCTTTTACGACTCGAAAAGCGTGAAGGGACGTGATAAAGGCGTGGAAAAGCGCGATGAGAGCGTTAAAGCGTGGTACGACGTAGTAGTTTTGTAAGGGCTGTAAGATTGCGTATTGCGCTTAGCAGTACAGTCGCGTGTACGTATCTCTCCTGAGCGTCTATTGTGTGCAAGATCAGAAAAAACGAGATATACGAAGAGTGGGTTTCTTGTAATGAAAATTCCAGTGGCAAGCGCGGAGCAGCAAAGGTCAGAATCCCCTGCGAGCACGCAGAATCAGAAACTAGAGAATCCCGACACTACTAAGGAAATGACTAGTAAAGACGGGATCGGGTCCAAAGTGATGATCAAAGGGGGCGGGAAAGGGGGCTGGCTGAAGGCCCCATTATCGGAGGCCCAAGAGCCCCATGGTGAGTGTAGTTGATCAAAAGATGTCCATTACCGACGAATCTAATCGAGCTTTGTGTCTGCGATATAACAATTGCAAAAAATAGAAGTCGCGAGAAACCTGAAACAAACACATACGTCTCCTTTCACATACATTGAACGCTTAATTATATATGAAAATTAATTTCCGTGCATCTTTTATCGAGTAGTTAGGTACGACTTGATTGTATTTTTATCATGCTTAAATATTAAACAGTTCTGTGTATAAGATTTTCACTGATGGCGTATTTTTATACCTATAAACCTATAATCGATATTAAAAATCTCAAAGTAAATAATAATTTAAAATAAATACAGAGATATAATTATATATATTGGAATTATAAGAGTTTTATCACTTAGCCACGTTATTAGTAAAAATTGAAATTTATATAGATGTTGCTCACACAAAGCGTGCGTAGATTCGTCGGTAAACGGCATACAACTTGCATCTTTTGATTACCTCGTTAGTCTTACATAGAAGCCAGTGACGATGCAAGGCTACCGATTTAGCGGCGGGATTTATCAAAATTCTTTGTAATCTTGGTGTGTGCCACTAGTAAAGGCAAGTTACACTGTAAGGCCAAAGAGACAATAAATTGGGCGTAACCGGGCTCCTTTCTTTCAGTTAGTTGACAAGGGGTTCGGCAACTTTTCTCACAAAAGTGCCCGTACAAATCATTCATTTGCATGCACTCGCAGTTCATTCACATAAACACCTTATCTCATAAGTATCATCAGCTTTTCGTATTTTTGATTGAATATCTTATATTTAGAAGCAGATTCTCTCGTAAACGATTCTCTTATTGGCGATATCTTGGCCCCGTCAGCTTGAAATATTCTCGAGTCTCTCGTCAAGTAGACTTCCACTCGTCGACATGATACATCTTCACTGTCAATCACCTGTCATTTACACACTTGTCATTTACACATTTGTCATTTTACCCAATTAAAATAAAAATCCCGCCGCATCGCATATGATGACACTTTAGTAATCTGAGGCTTCTTTAAACGACGTAATTCTCTATCGATTGTTAATTGCCTTTTCGTTGCAGATTATTGTTTTTGCCTTACAATTATTCTTCGTTTGCGTTTATGTTGCCCGCTCTTGCTGATGTTTTTCCTTTTTGGTTCAGTACCGTGCTCGAGCTTTCATTGATTCTGCCGTATTCCCGTGTTTCATTTACTTCATTACTTTAACTTCCTGCAAAATAGATGAGACGAGATTAATTGAAAAGATAATCCTACTGGAGAATATGTTAGTCTTGGATTAACCGAAAGCTGCAAGACGTAACGGCGTAACGGAAAATCGAATGTCTAATTTCATTATAAAAAATATTAAAATAGTTGGTAAAAAAAGCGATAAGATGATAACTTCATGGATATTCAAGTATGAGAATTTAAGCTTTTTCTTTTCTCGCATTCCTAGGTTTTTTATATTTACATGCAATGCAATGCTCTCACATTTTACATATATAATATATATATATAATATATATATATATATATATAATATAATATATATAAACACAATATTCTTTTATATATATATATATATATATATATATATATAAAAAAAAATAATAAAAGTAAGTAGTAGTAATATATATATATATATATATATATATATATATATATATATATATATATATATACAACATATATTCTTTCTATGTATTCCTTAAAAGATGATCACTTTTTTTAATAATGTAATTATATATTTAAACGACAAATATATGTACATATAAAAAGTAAGAGTTGACGGAATTTTCAAGATTTTTCAATTAGAGAATTATTAATGTAGTATTTTATTAAATATTCAGCTTTTTTAACTTCTTCATTGTCGATAATATATTTTATTTCTATATAATTCAAATTTATATTGATTTATACGAAATGATGTATATTTCTATCTCGCGATACGCATATGATATAAATTTTATTTCGCTTTTTTCATCGTGTATAGGGGTAGACGAAAGTGTTCCTGGAGCGGTAACGGAATTAAGTTCTAAGCAACGTCACCAAATGAAACATAGGGAACTGTTTTTATCGCGACAAGTGGAAAGTTTGCCTGCGACGCATATTAGAGGAAAATGTTGCGTTACGTTACTGAATGAAACGGAATCTGTGCTGAGCTACCTGAACAAGGAGGATACATTTTTTTACTGCTTAGTATTTGACCCTAATCAACGTACTTTACTTGCTGACAAAGGTAAGACAAGCGCATTTATCTATCATACATACAATACGTAACGAAACATTGAAATTAACAAAGTTATAAGTATTAAGTTACTTACTCTTATGTTTCAGGTGAAATTAGAGTAGGTAGTAGATATCAAGCAACGGATATACCATCGGTGTTGACACCCGCAGAGAGGGAAATGGACCCCCGCAACTTAGAAGACGTGGAGACTTTAGTTTGGACTCCAAGACACGGTTTGACTGATCGCCAAGTCGATCAATTCCTTGTCGTTAGCAGATCAGTAGGCACATTCGCGAGAGCCTTAGATTGCTCGTCCTCCGTCAAACAACCCTCCTTACACATGTCTGCAGCTGCTGCATCTAGAGATATTACTCTGGTGAGAGATGTTCTGCCTTTCGTACTCTCGGTGCATGAGGATAAATAGATATAAATAGATATGAATTGCTCTCTGGATGTGATGTCGTTTCAATAAAATTTTGTCAATCACATTGCAGTTCCATGCGATGAATGTATTGCATACGCACGCTTATGACATAGCAGATGCCATGGGGGCTCTAGTACCTAGTACAGGCCCCGTATTATGTCGGGATGAGATGGAAGAATGGAGCGCATCCGAGGCGAATCTGTTCGAAGAGGCACTCGAGAAGTACGGAAAGGATTTTGCCGACATACGAGCGGACTTTGTAAGCACGCGTTAACACATGCGGGTTCCTGCAGGACGCGGCAATGCTTGCGGAAATTGGCGCGGAGAGCCAATCATTCTTTCGCTCTTACAGAAAAGCGGTAAATTGATTGGCTACCGCGCCAACTTTTACCGTGTAAGCGTTGCCGCGTTCTATTTACAGGAGCCGCAAAAATACAGTTACGTTTGAACACATTGACATTGACTGATGTGTTGTTTGTGTTTTTCAGTTACCGTGGAAAATGTTGAAACACGTAATAGAGTATTATTATATGTGGAAAACGACAGATCGGTATGTCCAACAAAAAAGAGTAAAGGCCGTAGAAGCTGAGAGTAAGTTGAAACAAGTTTACATACCGAATTATACCAAATCCTCTGGGCCAATCACCGCTCCTTCTACCGCCACAATTGTACCACTGGGCAATAATAACAGCAACAGTAACGGAAAGCCGACCAGTGTTTTGAACGGTAATAGTAATGGTAGCATGGCAGGCGATAATTCCGGAATACTTATGGTTGGAGTCGGTGGAAAGCCATGTGAGGGCTGTCAGGTTATTCAGAGCTCACAATGGCACGCCTGGGGTCCGCCACATATGCAGTATCGGCTCTGTCAGTCCTGTTGGACATATTGGAAGAAGTACGGAGGACTCAAGGTATGCGCAGGATCGTTTCAATAACGGCACACAAGATCACTCCTGTAACAACAAACTCGTACGTCTCATATCTTTTCGTTACTCCGAACAGGCGCCGTCGCGCGTAGACGACGTCGATCTCGAGAGGAAACGCGCCGGCGCCGGATCGGACGAGGAGAGCAAAGGGATCGGTGGTGCGCACAGGCCGCATCGATGCAGCATTCCAACCTGCGGCAAGGAGTTCAAGTTGAAGGCTCATCTGAGCCGTCACTACGCGAGTGCGCATGGAGTGGATCTGCGCGGCGCCGCCGGAAGTGGCGGCGGCGGTGGCGGATCGCCACGGCCGGTCATGAAGACTCGGTCCGCGTTTTACTTGCGCACCTCCTTGATGGCGCGCGTCGCGCGACGTCTGTGCGCCGCACAATTACGTACACGCCACGCCGCGCGGGCGCCCCATCAGCCGGTGAATGCCGCACCGTTGCGGCACATAGGCCACCAGCTGACGTCCAAAACACCCGCGGAATTACGTATCCTTGCACGCGCCGTACGGCTCCGGTCGCGTCCTCGAGTGACCGATATTGCTTCGCGCTTGGGCGATCATCCAGCACCTCGACAACCTGGTGACTGGGATTGGTTAACCTTGACTGCTCCGGCACAACGCAAGCAACCCGATCGAGTCTCGTTTCCACGTCCCCCAAAAGCACCAGGTACAGTGAGAAGCGATTATTTTATGCATGCTGTAAATAATAATAAAGATTGAGTAAAGTAAATAAAATCTTTTGACACAGAATAGAAAATTCTCCAATAATAGAGAAATTTAATCATTGTTATAAAATTAAAAGCGGTAATTATTTATTCATAAAGTACTATTCATTATATTATTTACCCATTACTTTATTATTTCGGTCGATTTGTATTCTTTAATGTATTATAATGCAATTTAAACTGTATGGTATATGTAAAGCGAAATAGAAATATTTTTGAAATACAGTTATATTACAAATTATATTATATTTGTATATTGTTGACAAACACAAACAATTCAAAGTTTATGTTTACTTTTGATATACTTGCTTGATAACATAAAGTCTTGACATTGTAGACGGCAGTCTTTTATACGAGAGGGTACCAAACAAACCGGAGGTAGACAGGCTTACGTTGACACCACCTCAACCGCAGCCTGTTATGTCAACCCAACAGAATATTTTAAAACGCCCAAGATCATTCGATGAAGTCAATGGTTCAGATGGTAAGTTTCATTACCTCTTTCGCGTTATCAATTAGGCAACTCAATTTCGAATCATGAGTCAGTATTTATTATCCATATTTATTATTTTTATTTCCAGATTTAAATAATATTTTATAAGATGCTAATATGCCTCTGCGATATGTTTATAGCTATTTGATTTATATATGTTAAGATCAATGTTAATTTTAATTTTGTTCTTATTTATTGCCTTCTATTTGAATATGAATTAGGATGAGAAAAAAATCGAAATTTTATATTTACTGTCGTCATAAGATGACATATTCTTTCTGAGTATCTGAACTAATTTGTTTAATTCTAAAATCATTTTAATATAATTGATGTAAATAATGCTAGATAATTTATATAGTTTTTTTGTGACTCCCAATCTTTTATTTTATGTTATAATCGAAATCTATTGTTATTTGTGTTTTATTATTGTAGAAAAATAATTTTATGCAAACTTAAAAGAAGTGTAATTTTTTTATTAATCAAATAACGATAACAGATTCTTTTTTAAAGGAAATTCTAAAAATGAAATATTTTTTTATCAACCTACTGAATTATTAATAATACAATGAAAAAGAAGAAACATTGTATATGTTCCAACCTTATATAAAAATCATATAATACATGTTAAGACTCCTGACTAGTCGTCGCGGCCATATTGGAATTACGTGTCATAAGCGAAAAATGACACAGTGAAATTTATTGCACGTAATTTACAAACAAAGAAATATTTGGATGAAAAACGACACTTGAGATAATTTTAAGACACTTGTGAAAATGGACAGCTACTACTATTCTTTCCTCTCCTAATGGTTGATAAATAGTCGTAAAAGACACATAAAAGACTACCATATTCAGACAGACGAACACACGATTGACAACTGTTGAAAGAAGTGAAAAATATTTAATATACATACAAAATTTTACAAAAATTTAAAGGTAACTTTATTTGCCGTCCATTTTTACGAATTTGGTAAGTACGAGACAAGTTACACATTTACATGATTAACCATGTAATAACGAAATAACGTGCAATAAAAAATTTCGTTGTTAGCACATCATTTTTCACACCTATTTATATAAAAATGGACAAGGACAAGGATGAAAGAACAAGATGAACGAGAATGAATAAGCTTCTAATTCTTATCGTGATACTATGTCATCGTCAACGTCGAATTCTTAGCTGAATAGTCCTATAGGGTCCTTAATAGGGACCTTAGATTAAATAACTATATTTGCGCTTAAATAATTTAAAATCAGATAAAGATAAGGTAAATTATATTTAAATTTATATCAGACAAGATAAAGATAATTTAATCTAAATTTAGATTAAATTTAGATTTAATCTAGATAAAAGATAAAGTTATGTCTAGATTATTTGTCTAGATAATTTTAAGATAATATTGTTATAAGCAAGACATAAGATACGAAAACAATTTTTTTTTTATAAAACTTTTACTATTTATTGGTTAGATACGATAAGGGAGGATGCGAAATGTAACTAATGCAATTCTTTATATAGATGATTCATATTATTCTAATCATAGCCAGCGCAATCGCTCTTTAAATAATGTTCGTTGAAAAATATTTAATACAAATTAAATCTAAAATTTAGATCGGATTAACTTAATCGGATTCATATTTATACATAAAAATTTCAAAAATATAATAATTATTTAGCTAACATCAAGTAATGTCTATTATATCGCAACGTTAATTTTTATTCGAAGAATTAGATGAAATCTATTTTAAATTACATAACTAAGATAATTTGTAAAAAAAACAACACTTATTTTATCTAAGATAAAGATGAATATATTTTAATCATTTAGATAAGAAAATAAAACTATTTCTTCATCTACATAATTTTATATAGCGGAAAACACTATATTTTTAACATATATCATTTTAATATATATCATAATATTTAGGATCGTTAACGTTTTGTAAACACGTCTTATAAATCTCAGTTATACCTCTAAATTGTATCAAAATAATTTTTTGTAATCTTTAAAATGTTTTGTTTTTTTTCGCTTCTAGGTATCGCGGTAGGGCTTCCTTCCGCGCCACCTGCAAAAAGATCTCATCACTCGCAACAGTTGCATCCAAAGCACACACTGGAGCATCCCGCACCCGCAGTTCTTCCTCTCGCGCCGCCTCTTAACGGTAGAGCATCTCATCCACATCCGCTGCCTCATGGCCCGCCGCTGTCTAGAAGTAACGCACGCAAACAGGTCATGTCGTGGATGGACGCGCCCGATGATGTTTATTTCCGCGCCACCGAACAAATCAAGTGAGTATAAAAGTGATATGTGTTTGTAATATGTGTACTAACTTTTCAATGTATCAAATTGCAAGAAAGCTAAAAGATGATATGTGCACTAATTTTTCAATGTATCACATTGCAGGAGAGCTAGAAGAACTCTAGCCTCGGTGGAATTACGAAGAGCAGCGCGTAAACCATGGCGCAGAATGTCGCTTCCCCTGAATCCGCTTCATCTCCAAAGAGCGGGTCGCCAAGACGATATGGTCGTTATCTTGGATTGAATCCGCAATACAATCGAACGATATTGTATGTCAGTTTGCTAATCGCAAAACAACAACGTTATTAACGTAAACGAGTGAAGTTATATACAGTGAAGGTCACACAGTTTCGTGAATTGCTATGAGCAATTCCGATTGAGCAAGAATCTAACTTAAGAACCAGAAGATTCCTCAGAAAGTTTCTCGATTTTTTTTTCTTTTTCAAAAACCGAGAAAGTTGTCGAAAAAAAGACTTCGCTTAACCCGAACATGCATGTTAAACAATCAAGAACATCGTTGGATCGTAATGACTTCACTACTTACGGAATACTACTTCTTATGGAAGAATTAATGTTCAGCGAACTAAGTCATTCAACGTGAATAATGATTTTTTATTCGTATTATTGTTGTTATTAATAATAATTATTAATAATTGAATGTACATATACATTGTACTACACATAGCCGTGCAACACGTCTCACACATACACACAAACACACACACACACACACACACATATATATACATACATACACTCGCATTTTCACACATACACAAAGTATATACACGAATACATTCAAGTACCGAAAAGCAATCGGTACGAATTTAATAGCGATAAAAAATTGGCCGATATATCTGCGGATTAGCCCATAAATAGCTGCATTCAGAAAACACAAAAGCGATGCGATTTTCGAAAAACATTGTATGGAAAAGTCTGCTTCTTATGATGACATACTTTGAATGTACTTCGAGAGATACTGATATGTTCTTCAAGAATTGATCATTTAAGCATTGTATTTTCTGGACGCAATTAATGTTACGGCTAAGCAGATAATAGAAACGAATGTATGACTAGAAGTGAATGTGTGAGAAAAAAAGAAGTAAGCGAGAGAGAGAGAGAGAGAGAGAAAGAAAGAGAGAACGAGAAATGCGCGAGAGAGTATACGTAATCGAGCGAAAGAGAATGAACTACTGTACGTATGGGAGACAGAAAGAAGGAATGCTCACTGTGAATATTTTTATTAAATTTTCAAGTTTGATGACTTCCGTCGCAAAAATTAATAAATAAACATAAGCATAAGTGAAAAATATCTTAATCGTATCTCTCGGTTACCGTTGATGAATCATCACGATGCATTCTCTATCTCCATCTCTTCCTTTTATGTCTACATGAAGATATTTATTTCGATATATATTTTTGTCGTTTCCATGTTATTTATAAACATGGAATCATACGGTCGTATAACGAATAACATTTCGAATCTTGAAACTATTTAAATTATTCCGTATCAATTCCGTCAATGATTTTATATTTTTCTTCTGCAAGGATTTTTTTTTTTTTTTTTTCTCAATATTCATCATTCGCACGATGTTAAATTACGATCTCGGAATATTATTAATATGTCGTAAGATTGCCGCAATACATGATTATTCGATGATATCAATCAATTCCTAGATTATGATGGCAATCTGACTTATCAGCATTATTAAGAGTTGTGTCCGTGTCTTCTTCTACGGCATTACAGTCCTAAAAAAAAAGTCCTTAGCCTCAATGAGAATGAATCGTTCTCCATTCTCTACTCCTGGATTTTGTCCTCCTTACGCACACCTAGAGTCGGTCTGCCCCTAGGTCTTTTGTTATCGATATTATTTTCAAGAACTTTCTTACACGGGCAATTATCCTTGCATCCTATTGATATGTCCCAGTCATCTTGATGGCTGTCGATTTTTTGATTTTTGGATATAGGAGAACAGCTGATATAGTTCTTTGTTTTCTTTCTGTATTCATTTATTCCTACTTTAATTGCGCCAAAAAAATTCTCAAAATTTTTCTTTCTAGTCTAGCTAATCTCTGCATCTTCCTTGCTCTCAGGATCCAGCTTTCTGAACCATATAAAATGGGTCTTATCAGAATAGATCAGGTTTTGTAGATAGTTTATTTTCGTAGTTCTGGATAAGTTCCTTGATCTCAATAGTCGAGCCCGAGTCCAAAGTAGACTTTGTTGGCGTTGCCTATTTCTTCAATTGATTTCTATTGTCTCGGATGTTGTTTCGGATCGTTGTCGGATGTAATAATTGATGTGTCTATGCCTACATTTTACGACTATCTTTTGACTTATCAGAAAGAAGCTATTGACGATTTGATTGATCAAAAGACGCAAATGCAATCTCTCTAATCGCTAGTGTACGGGCATAACCCTATTTAATTCTCTGTCGGTAAATGAATTCTAAGCAATTTTCGTGACCATCAAAGATGCTACGGAGGCCAGAAGGTAATTAAAGAATATCGATAATATTAACTGTTGATATAAATTTTTAATTGTTTATATAAATATTAAAATGATATATTATTAAATTCATTATATTTTTCATATAAATGTTTCGTAAATAATATATACATGTACGATATTATATATAACAACATTTGATAACAACATATTCATGTAATTTTCTTTTTTTTTTAAATGATTTTCAAATTTTTTTTTATTAGTATTTTTTTTTTAAACAAACATTGAAAATTTTCTACATGCAATTTTATGTAACATCATACTTTCAGATCCAATATTTGAGGTTTGATCAATCTTTACCGACGTCAAGTAAAATGATAATAATGAAATATCGACATATAATGTTTCTTTTTCATGGATGGTCGTCAAATTAAACTCTTCTTATTTTTCCTAAAGTCTTAAATCGTCGTATTCATCTTTGTCAATTTAGAAACCACAATCTTTTCAATTGTGCGTTTTTACGTGACACACAATCGATTTCACATTTTTACTGTTTGCAGCAACATCTTTATTATCAACATCAAGTCAATGTCATAAAATTTCTATGATTCGCTTTTCTATGAAAAATAATTTTGTTTTTT